GAATCACTGCCATTAAGTTAGTAACCCAGTTGTTGAGTGAATCCGGCTTCCCCATTGACTTTGCTTGTCAGAAGATCGCAAAAGGTTATCACAATGCCAGGACATTGCAACATGCCAGTTTCCAAATTTCTGGATTTTGACCACATGGCCATGGGGATGCTGCAAGGGTCATAAGCGTGGAAAACATTCATACGCCACTTTTTTCAATGCTGTTGTAACTTTGAACAGTCACTAAATGAATGGTTGTAAGACCATTCAAAGACTACCTGTAAAAGGAACTATCCTGAAAGTAATTATTTTAGTATTTTGGCTTAAGAACTTGCAGAGAATTTCAAATGCTATATATCTCACAGTCGAAGCAAGAAGGAACATCACAATATGATTTATATGCATACATTTAAATAAGTATTAAGCAATATAACCACAATTAGTTTTGGTTTTTTAAAAATGGATCAAAACAGGAGTATACTTCTACTTTTATACAGCAATGGCTATAACCCAATAAATCTTTTGCTGTAAAACTGCTTCCTTGATTAATAGTGACAAGGAAGTACAGGACTAAAAAAGAAAAATGTGATATGGATTACATTTTCTCACAATACTCAAATGTCTAGTCTTTAGAAGCTGTAGATTTTGCAATAACTCCTTTAGGACTTTTTCTCATTTTCAAACATCCCAGCTGTCCTCCCCAAATTTGTTCTTTTAATGCCAAAGCTATGAGATGATAAATTATTGGGATACAATGAGATATTTTGCATGGAATGTCCTATTGCTGATTGCAAGAGAAGCCAAATAAAAAGTTGTAATATAGCAACGTCTCTTCGTACACTGGATTCTGTCTCTCAACTTTTGCATTTCAAGAAGTCTTTCAATGTGCTACCAAAGAGACTTCCGCTCTCTTATTGCTTGGCTGGTTTAAGTTGTGCCTGGGAGTTCTGCAGCAAGGCCAGTGTGTCGCGCTTCTCAATGCGCCGCAAATGTTTCTTCTTTGCACGCTTCAGTTTTAAGGGATTTCGAATCTAAAAAAAAAAAAAAAGGAGAAATATGGTCTCATCTCATGCTCATCTAAGACTTAAAAACTTTCTGAATAACAATCAACCAAACTAGAGGCTTCCAGAATGTTATTGCTATTGGTTTACAAAATTCCCACAACAGAACCAAATACAGATTTTCCATAGAAAACACATTTTTTCCACAGAAAGGAATGAATATTAAATCTTTTCCAAGGTGCTTAAATCTAAAGAAAGCAACAGATTAAACTCTACACATGCAAAAGGAAGACAAAGAAAATGTAGAAGTAGGATTGGCACATGCCTGCACCATCACAAGCAAGCTCCGTCATTTTGTCATCTGGCAACAGATACTCCATTTGTCAACAGTAAATGGAACAAGAAAGGGAGCCCAACATTTTCACACTTTTTCTTTTCCTGAAGTATTCTGTACCCCCAAACAGCTACTATAAGACCTTGTAAATAAAAAAACATATTTCTTCTTTCTTCGCTTTTAACTTTTTATGCAGAAAGCAGAGAAAAATCATTTAAATATATACGACTCTTAATAAAAACTAAAATATTTACAATCACATTCATATGGTATCAACCTGCTTATGACAACCTGCCTATGGGGTTAAGGGGGCAATGCATTAACCCCTGGTTGTATTTTTTTTATTGTATTTTTCAGGATGTGATTTTTTCAAGAGGGGACGCCTGTCAGCTTTGGAAGCCATATTGAGACCAGATGCTCCCACGCTGCCACATTTTGAGCCTGGGGAAAAGGGAAGGGGGAATTTCTTGGAGTGTATGTAGTTAGACATAACACTCTTCTTCTAATTCAAGGTCATGTTATTTTGCACGTGAGGGGAAGTCTTAAGTTGGGATGGATGGTGATTGGGGCATGTGATGTGATGTGATGATGGGTGCAGGGGATGGATTTGTAGTTTTTACTTATTGCAGGGAAGCCAGGAACTTTCAGATTCGGGATTCCCCAGTTGTGCCAGTTACTATCCTAAGAAAAGGAACTTTTGAGATGTCTGTCTCAGAGTTATTGGTTGGAGTGGAGGTTTGCTGGAACACTGACACTTGTACTGCTATATGTTTTCCCATCTTTGTATGCCTCTGACTTTTTCTATGCTGCAAAGTTCATAGTTATGATCTCCCAATAGTATGGAACTCTGAATAATCTTGGTAGTAAAGTATTAACAATGAAACATAGCTATCAGCTTGGACTCTGGAACTAGCTTTCACTTGGACCAGAGCCCAGATAATTGAAAGAAAAGGCCAGGTGAACTCCAGTGACACACTATCATTACCAATTCAATTCAAGAAGCACATGTTCTCTATAATGCAGGTGTCTCCAACCTTGCCAACTTTAAGCCTTGTGGACTTCAACTCCCAGAATAAGTTGAAGTCCACAAGTCTTAAAGTTGCCAAGGTTGGAAACACCTGCTATAATGGATCTTATCAAATGCCTTGAAGCCCCCTTATTCATGGCTTGATCCCTAGCATGCATCTCTCATGTTGGCTCTTTCTCAAAAGGAATCTCTCTGGCAGAAATGTAGGAACTTGGTTCAAGCACATTTACATGCAAAGCTAGCAAGTCATGTTTTCCACTTGAACTCAGGCTAGGGACGAACCTATCCCCAGGATCCTATTCACCTTCCTAATACTTCAGGCTGGGAGGGAGAAAGGCGAAGGCTTCAATCATGGCTGCCAAAAACCAGCAGCACACCAATATCTTGACCCCAAATCAGAAAATCTATTTACATCTTGCTTAAAAGTCTGTGCTGACCAATTGGCCCCCATCTTCACCCGAATCTTCAATAGATCATTAGAGATGTGCTATGTTCCTTCCTGCTTCAAATGCTCTACTAGCATCCCAGTGCCAAAGAAGCCCTCCATCAAGGAACTGAATGACTACAGAGCAGTTGCTCTAACATCTGTAGTTATGAAAATCTTTGAAAGGCTTGTGCTGTCTCACCTGAAAACCATCACGGATCCGCTGTTAGATCCCATGCAGTTTGTATACCGAACAAATAGATCAACGGATGATGCTGTTAACATGGCTCTGCATTACATCCTACAATACCTTGAATCTTCTAATACCTACACAAGGATCCTCTTTGTAGACTTCAGTTCAGCATTCAATACCATCATTCCAGACACTCTTTTAAGTAAATTAAACCAACTAGCGGTACCTGAACACGCTTGTAAGTGGATCATAAGCTTCCTAACAGAAAGGAAGCAGCAGGTGAAGCTGGGCAGAATCACATCAGATACCTGTACAATCAGCACAGGGGGACCCCAAGGCTGTGTGCTTTCTCCACTTCTCTTCTCTCTATATACCAATGACTGCATCTCAAATGATCCATCTGTTAAAATACTGAAATTTGCTGATGATACAACAGTGATTGGTCTCATTCAAGACAACGATGAATCCGCATACAGACAGGTACAGACAGGTTATACAACTCGTGGTGTAACCAGAACAATCTGGAACTGAACACACTCAAAACCGTAGAAATGGTGGTAGACTTTCGAAGAAACCCTTCCATACTACCACCTCTTACAATACTAGACAACATCATATCAACAGTAGAGACCTTCAAATTTCTAGGTTCTACTATATCACATGACCTAAAATGGACACCAACATCAAAAACGTCATCAAAAAAGCACAACAAAGAATGTTCTTTCTGCATCAACTCAGAAAGCTCAAACTGCCCAGGGAGCTGCTGATCCAGTTCTACAGAGGAATCATTGAGTCTGTTATCTGCACCTCTATAACTGTCTGGTTTGGTTCTGCAATCCAACAGGATAGACCCAGACTTCAGAGAGTAATTAGGACTGCAGAAAAAACAATTACTACCAACCTGCCTTCAATCAAGGACCTGTATACTGCACGAGTCAAAAAGAGGGCTGTGAAAATATTTATAGACCCTTCACATCCTGGACATAAACTGTTTCAACTCCTTCCCTCAAAACAACGCTATAGAGCATTGCACACCAGAACATCTAGACACAGTTTTTCCCCTGAAAGCCATCACTCTGCTAAAGAAATAATTCCCTCAATCCTATTCAACTATTACAAAGTCTGCACTATTACTGTTAAATCTTGTAATCACTCCTTATCACCTATCCCCTCCCACTTGTGACTGTATGACTGTAACTTTGTCGCTTGTATACTTACAATTTATATTGACTGTTTCCTAGTATGATTGCTTATTGTACCCTATGACTATCATTAAGTGTCGTATCTTATGATTCTTGACTCCTGACGAATGTATCTTTTCTTTTATGTATACTGAGAGTATTTACACCAAGACAAATTCCTTGTGTGTCCAGTCACACTTGGCCAATAAAGTATTCTATTCTATTACATTCAACTATTGTATAATTTTACTTGTTTTGGATTGTCAGCGCCTTTGTACTGAGGCCCTTGTGTTCTCCTTCCACAAGAAAAATTAAATGCAGTTCCATTTCACCAAAGGATTTCCCATTTGAGGCAACAGAGTGATATTAAATTTGTGCAGTTACTGGATCAATAATTCAGCCTCCAATTCTCAAAATGCTCTTTAACAACAATGAAAAAGCATAACTTATTATATGTTGCTGTTGACCCGAACCCATTATAATGTACTACCAAGTTAAGTAAAACATTAATTATGAAACACAATCCACTCTTCTTCAACCAAGGAAGGATATTTTCTTTCTAAATGAAAATAACTTGATCCCAAACTCACCACTTGCACAACCTCCGCTTTCCTCTCATTTTGTAGCCTTCTTTTTAAGTTATCCCTCCTTCGCTGTTTTTTCTCCTGAAAGGAAGAGGCTTTTATGCATGCTATCTTATATGTCACAGTCCAGCAAAAAAATTTGACCAAATAATTCCATAAATATACGAGAGTACAAATACTGACAAAAAAGCATATGCAAACAGCTTTATGAACCAAAAAACTGACTTTATATAATAACTCTCAAAAATAAGTAGCAAAGTATGTAACACAGAAGAACACTTTATTTCTTTAAAAGTTTTCGCTCATCAAACTTTTCCAGACTTGTAAGCTGAAATAAAAGTTACCATTTTATGAGGTCCTCAGAAGTTTCTTTTAAGCAGAACATGATGTGACTATAGAATCTATGAGTTGAGACCTTCACTAAAATGAACAGAATATCTGTGGGATTTACGTAAGATAAAAGCAGTTCAAACCAGCAACAATTTTTGAACAAAGCATTTGTAAATTGGCTCTAATTATTTTATTTGAATTGACTGAATTGGGGGAGGGGTGTTTTTTCACACTGGTACAAAGCAGCAACATGAGTAGCAGCAATATCAAATACAAAAATTGTGGCATGACATCTAATGCAAGTGTTGTCATTTGCCTATCTTTTCCCCATGGGTGGCCATGTTGTATATATTATGTCATTTTTTGTTTATGACCTAAATAAAACAAGTATCAAGCTCTGGATCTTCACTCAATCTTTCTTAATATATAAGTAGGATCCTCAGGAAGCTCTATTAACATTCAACAGCAAAGATATGCAGAAATTCATATTCTGCTTTACAAAATAGTAGCATCAGCAAAGTTATGCATGTATGCCTGAATAAAAGGGTAGCAATCCTATTTTAAACTTTCAATAAAATAAATAACCTTTTAGATGCCAAATTCAAAACAGCTACAACATATCATTCTGCAGGCCAAAAGTATATCCTATATCTAATCCATATGCCTTTGTGAATTCTGTTCTGCCTTTGGGAATTCTATTCACAATTCTTGTGAACAGAGTGTGAGTTCAACAGACTTAGCACTAGTCTTTTCTTGCTAATTCAGTCCATAACTTAATTAGAGTGACAAAAAATATCAATGAAGATGGTGTCTGGCAGAGATGCTTAGGGATACGTTATAGTTACTTAATAATAATATGGACACATTGCTTCCAGACATTTGAGACAAACATATTTTACCTACCTCACGCTCCCTTTGTTTTTGTTCCTTCAGCTCCTGGGCAAAATCTTTGATCAACTTCTTTTCCTGACGTATTTTCATTTTATGTTGCCAGGAAGTATGTAAAGGCTTATCCTGGATCATGTGGGAAAACCTGGGGAGATGGCAAAATTTACATTATCAGTTACAAATAAGAGTTTAGTTTCAGCTCTAGATGGTATCACCTTATACAAGACAGCCATAGTTTGCCTTAATAAAGCCTTACAGAATAACTAATAGTCAAATTGGTGCAATACACTGAGCCATAAATTGCAATTAGACCAAACAATCTTAGTAACATTTAGTATATTATGTGAAGCTGATCTAGGATAAGAATCCTGCACACTTTTACTTGGCAAGGAGTTCCAATGAAACAAAAGCCTATTTTTGCAGATCAAAAACATTACCCTAACAAATAAGAATGACATTAAAAGCATACTATGATTTTAATTCGTGTGGCACCAAAGGTTGGTTATTTAATACAAACCCTCTAAAATTTACACTCAACTTGAACTGAGGATGAATATTAACATTTAATCTTTTTTGGGGTAGCATTTTACTGTGCACACTAGGTAGGCATGAAGTGCATAAAATAAACTCTGTCTAGGAGAACTAACCAATACGCAGTATTTGTCTAACAAAGCGGTATAAAATACACATAAACGGCAGCCCATTTCAACTCCCAGAATTCGTGCTGGGAATTTCTGGGAGTTGGAAGTCCTTATATCCTAAAAGTTGTTGACGTGGAGAAAACTGCTCGCCAAGATGCTGCGTCCGATCATCTGGCGACCAAGATCGCATTCTTACCGCTTTTTGCCGGGGTCTTTCCATACCCGCCCAGATTTAGGCTTTCCTTTGTGGATAGACGCTGCCTCCTTCCGCTTCTTACCCAAAGCAGCTATTTGCAGCTTTCCGGATCCAGCTTCCACTAAGGCAATAGCCCCTTCCTCGTTCCCCAGCTGCTGAAGTTGCTCACCCCGTTCCGGCTCTGGAGACAGTCGATCGGCTTGCAGCAGCTCCTCGGGGATAAGCGCCGCCATTTCCTTCCTTTTTGTCTCTTCACTACAGTCCCAGCTAACAAACACGTTCTCTCTCTCTCTCTCTCCCCTCCACCCCCCCTCTCCTACCCCACGAGGAAGACTCCAGTAGGGCCCTTTCGGATGACGTCCCATATGCGACGCACGCTGATGCGCAAAACTACGAGCTAGATAACATTCTTTGCGGCAGCCTTCCGCGAATGCACTATTCATTGGAAGTTACGTAAGCTAGAGCGGTTCCTTGACTAGAAAGAGGGTAAGTTTCACTTGTTCTTGAATACAACTTCCGGTATCCGCTGCTTTTAGTGGAATCCATATGCGGGGCAAGAGTGGTAAAGATTCAGTGCAATCGTCTTCGCTATGTAATACCCTGTAAATATTTTGGGAACAGTATGGCCAGAATTCCGAAGTGCATGTTTGCTGGGCATTCTGGGCTTTGTAGTATGCAGTACTAAACAGCTGGAAAGCGTTTAGGTGTGGAAGAAGATCCATTAAAATATCATTAAAAATACCACTGGCATTTTTTGGCTGTTAGAAGAATATATATTTTAATGGGCATTAATATAAGCTTTTGTTATTTTATAGTATATTTAGTATATTTTATTTATTTTCATTTGACTGAAGTCTAAACTTAAAGCACTTACATTTTTCTTACTTGGTTCCTAATTACTAACTGAATTAGGAAAATAGTTACAAAATTTTTTGTTTGTTTGTTTGATCAACTCTTAAACCAATAATATCTAGTCATCCCTGAGCCTCCTACTTCTGTTTCTTGGCTGTGGAAGAAACATTATAAGCATATTAAAGACTTTAAGCAATGATTGATGGTCTCAACCATAATTACTGTTGCATTTATATATATTTATATAATATATGCAAAACACTTTGAATAACAATGCTATAAAAGTCTAAGAAAAGACAATTCCTGTAGCTTTAGCAAGCTAGTTCACACTTAAAAGTTAAAATTTGAGCTAATTCATTTATTGAAAAGAGCAACTGGATATACAATTCCTTATCTGTTTTTAATATGAAATTTGTCTCTGAACTCATTGGATTTTGTTACCTGTTTGAAAAAGCAAAAAATGTAAATTTATTTTGAAAATTTGCCCAATCTGATCAAGTACTGTATGAGACAGATCCTGTTTCTGTATCATATATAAGAAATGTATATATGAACTTATGAAAAGAAAATGATTTTGACATTTTGATATTCTCAATATTTCAAATGCTCAGTGCTTAAAAATAGCAGAGAGACTAATATGTCACAAAGAGTAATAAACTGATAATTGTATAACTTTCTATGGATCAATGGTCTACATTATGAGATGCATGCATTTGTTGTGTTGTTACATATTATGTCTAATTCTCTGGAATAAAGTTATTAAGATAACTAGAAGTATCTTTTAATTTATTTTTGATTTTTAACCTATCTATTTATATCAATCTAAAGTTTTCTTATATATTAAAAATAGAATATAAAATAATGCAATCAAAATAAAAAATTAAAACTAAATTCTGTATCATTACCATTTCCTTGAGAACCTTTAATCATGCTTCTGGCAAAGAGAATTTTCATTTAAGTAACCAGCTAATAACCTCGGATTGCCTGGGTATTTATTTATCCCAATCCTGTGTTAGACAGGAAAATCCTATAGTCAGAACTCACGCTGTTGCACTGTCTGTGACTCTAGATGTAGCAGCTCTCTCGCCCAGCATTGCAAGTCAAAGGGAGCCCCTTTGTGTATTGTGAAGCCGTTACCATGGCAACTCCACTGTGCTGTACAGAAGAAGCCATTTTAAAACACATAACCCCCCCCCCCCAGGGTGTTAGAAGTGTCTTACCCCCATAGTATTTTTTTCCAGAGGGTAAGTCATCTGTCTACAACATTTGGTTGAAATTGTTTGAAGTGTTCCAGAGTTATGCTGGAACACACACACACACACACACACACACACACACACACACACACACACGTATGGTATTCAACTTTGTTCGGGTATTTTCCCACGTCATTATAGTTGTGCTTTTAAAGTTGCAGCAACGTTTCGGCAGAATCTCATCTGCCATCAGGCTTCTGCCGAAACATTGCTACAACTTTAAAAGCACAACTATAATGACGTGGGAAAATACCCGAACAAAGCTGAATACCACACATGTAAGTACCCACGAAAACTTAAGAAAACATATACATACATACATACATACATGGTATTCAGCTTTGTTTGGGTATTTTCCCACATCATTATAGTTATGCTTTTAAAGTTGTAGCAACATTTCGGCAGAATCTCATCTGCCATCATCAGGCTTCTGTATAGTGTTCGTCTGTATATATACATATATACACAGTATGTTACAGTAGTTGAGATGTATTGTAACAAAGCTAAGTAAAACAGAGTCAAGAAGAGTTAGATGATGCACTGTCTATAATTATATAAACATGCACGATGTCACTATGAGCATGATATGCTCTTTGATGTCACTATGACCTCTAAATTCAGTGATAGTGTCAGTGATTGAGAACCTTTAATCATGTTCTGGCAAAGGAAATCTTCAGAAATGTGTTTCTCATTTGTTTAAGTAATTGGTCAGATTAATTAACAGGAGAGGCAATTGCCTGAATAATGTGCCATTGAAGAGTACTGGGCCTAAGATGGAACCTTGTGATACTCCACTGCTTACTTTCTTCCAGATGTACCACAGTATCATTAAGACCTACTCATTGAGTATGGTTTGTCAGCCAGTTACAACTCCGTCTGGTGGTGATGGTATCTGTCCCACATTTTTCAAGCTTACCAAGAAGTAGGTTGTAGTCTACTTTGTTGAATGCCTTACTGAAATCTAAGTATACCATATTCACAGCATTTTGCTTGCCCACTAATTTAGTCACTTGGTCAAAGAATGAAATAAGATTGGTTCAGCATGATGAGTTTTTAACAAACCCATTCTGGCTTCTAGTCATAACTTTGTTTCTAAATGTTCACAGACCTGTTTTTTTATTATCTTTCCCAGTATCTTCCTAGGTATTGATGTTAGGCTGATTGGTTTGTAGTTTCCAAGGTCTGTATTTTTCCTTTTTTTGGAGATGAGAACCACATCAGCTGTTTTACAATCCTCAGGTAGTTCCTTGGTGCTCCTGGATTTTTGAAAGATATAATGGATCTGAGGTAACATCTGCCAGCTGCTTCAGAATTCTGGGATGTTTTGTCAGGTCCTGGTGATTTGTATTCATCAAGATCAGACAGGTGTTCTCTTAGCATTTTCTTGCTTATTTTAATTTTTAGCCTGTCTTTTATGGTTATATTTTTGATAGGTTGGGCTATAGTTTCTTTTTGTGTGAAGACTGATGCAAAGAATGAGCTAAGCAACTCTGCTTTCTCTCTACTATGTTACTTCTTTGCTATCTTCTCTCTTTACTGGACTGACTGTTTCCTTGATTGCTTGTTATTTATATGTTGAAAGAAACTTTTTTTAAATTATCTTTGACTTTTGTTAAAAGTCTTTGTTCATTCTGAACCTTTGCTTTCCTTACTTCATCTTTGCAGATTCAGGCTATCTGCTGTTAGTCTGCCTTAATTATGTGTCCTGGTTTCCATTAATATAAATTAATGATTGAGTTAACATAAGCTGTCTGTCTCATCCCATTAAAGCTAATTTAATGGGTACCAATTGAACTTTTGGGGTAGGGAAGCAGCAAGTTTCTCCAACATACTGAATTCTTTCATAAGGTATTAAAATAGTATAGTGGACAAGACAGAACTCTGAAGCACTATGGATCAATCATCTAGGTCAGCGGCCACCAACCTTTGCAGCTTGGCGGCCCGGCTGAGGAGGAGGGAACTGGGCCAAGTGAGTGGAAGGCCAGCGCGCATGCAGTTTGACTTGTGGAAGCAGCGGGCTGGAGCGCAGGTGCATGTGCACACAGCTTGATTTGTGCATGTTGAGCTGTGTGAGCATGTGCATGCATGCCAGACCACTGCTTGTGGAAATTGAGCTGCATGTGAATATGCGCTAGCCTGCCACTCACACAACTTGGTTTCAATAGGCCATGGTAGTGGGCCGTGGCCCAGGGGTTGGAGACCCCTGACCTAGGTGTCAAACAATTTTACCTTCTGGTACTTCTTGATAGGGAGGATTTGGAACTTCTGCAAAGCCTGGCAGAAAACCTAGAAAGTTACCATGTGTGGTGGTCTCCCATGGAAAGAATGAGACACAAGCGTGTGTACTCGGGATGGGAGCCTAGAGCAAATTCCAGTGCTCCCTTTTATTGAGATTTTAGTACATAGTAAGCATTCACATTGTGGATTACAATAATTAGATATAGTACACAGACTTGTTTACAGTTGTCTGAGCTGCTTAATTGTTTCTAGTGTTTGTTTTTAATTTCCTTGCTTTATCTCAGTGACCTTTAGGCAGACATGTATGTATAAGGCATTAGTTTAATCATTACTCGAACCCAATCCAAAGTTTATTCCCACACCATGATTAATAGTCTCAAATGTTGCTAAAAGATTCATGAGAACTATTAATGAAGTACTGATATTAGAAAGAACAAGTAGTTTCCCACATATAATTTCCATTGTAGGTCATTCACACGATCAAAGCAGTTTCAGGAACATACTCTAATTTGCTCTGAAAATCAGCTTTATTCAAATGCATCTGGAACTTTAGGGCTCCCACAGTTTCAATTATCCTACCCAAGAATAGAATGTTCAAAATTGGTCTATAATTATTATCAGAAAATCTTCCCTTTTTCACATATTTTTGTATTCTTATAGCTACCTTTTTTGAGCAGCCAGGAACATGTTCCACATTCTGAGACATTGGTTGCCTGGCTTAATCATGGTGCCTGAACTAGAGTGGCCAATTAAGAAGGAAAAGGGGTAAGCAAATTGATGAGTTTACCTACCTATCTATAACCTCTCAATGTCCTCAAAAGCTGGAAGCTATATGAACTGGGCAAGCAGTTGTCAGAGCAACCTGTGATCTGGAATCCAAGTTGAGATAAATCCAATTGATTTAGCTTGCAAATAAAGATGAAAATTGCTTACAATTAGCCTCTGAAAGTTCTACCTCTTTTCCCCTTACATCTTGCTGGAGGGAGATGCTGTGCAATGTGAAAAAACACCAGTGGCCTATTTGTCTAGATTATGTAGCATGTACAGAGCATCTGCTAGGAATATCTTAAAACAAGTGTCTTTTTTGTTGGGTCTTGCTGCTGCCATCCATAACTGATACACAAACCTGGGAAAAGATGATTTAATTTACACTATTCCCAGCAAGTGCTACAAATGCAGGCACACATTCCATAAATCATGTTTTCCTTTCAGAGCTGGATATTTACATAATCCTAATAAGAGACTAGAAAATTGACTTACATTAAGTACAAGAAATATTTCTGATAATTATACAAATATTAACATACATTCTGCAAAGTAATACTAATGCAACTGTTAATAGTTATTTCAATGCAAATATCAACGTGAATATGACAAGCCATATTTACATAGTTCAGAAATCTAAAGGCACTTGTTTCACTTTTTTCCATTACAAGAAGCACCTTTTTCAATATTTAAAAAAAACCAGTACAAATGGAAGTACTCACAATGTTTGAACAAACACTACATGCAGCTATACAGTCACTCTGGGATCTGTCTTATTACGAAAGAGATAAACTCCCTAAAATTCATGATGATTTTGAGTTGAAGCACAGATTACTTGGTGAAATGGTTCTTTGTTTCATAGCTTTACAAATAAAGCTGTAAACATAATAAGGTTTGCATCAAAGTGCTTGCAATAGATGTCATGAAATCTAGGAGGGAAAGGATGCAATCCAGAGATGTTAAGAGACAACTCAGTCCAAATATTACGTTGAGAAAAAGAGGGTGAAAACAGCCCTTCTCTAAAATTGTTCACATAGCATATGGTAGATGCAAATAGTAGCGTCCTCAATCTGGCAAGATTCTTTCAATAAGTATGAAATAATAAAGAATTCAGTTTGAAAGGATCACCACGTCATTCTTAGTTTTGGGCCTGGTATCACCTCTGTATTTATCATCTGTGAAATTTAATCATGGGCGGGCACTTCTAAGAAGCAGAGTGGGCACAAAAGTTTCTCTAAAACAGATAAATTAAAAAGTAAGCATTTCATATGGAAATAGTTTGTGAAGGCAAAATAACCAAGACCTTGTGAAACAGCAGAAAATTTGATCTGATAAAAGTAGAAATTATAATCTGAGTGGATAAATTGGATCTATGGACCATTTAATGTGTTCATTAGAATTAAATGCTAAGCTTTTGCTACAGAAAGTGGAGATACTAAAGTAAATGGCATATAATGGACCAAGATAAGTGTTTAGGCTATTCTTTTTCTGCTGAATGCACAAACCAGCCAATAACCATTTGTTTTCTTTTGCTTCAGAAATAATTCTGTATCATATCACAATGTGATCAGGGTTTAAGAAATTTGGTTCAAGTTCCTGATAGGTTGCATCTCTGAATGATTCTTCCTTTGGCAGGGGTAGTTTCCTTTTTTCCTAAAGGCAGCACCTCCTGGTAATTAGTTGGTAACATATCTCCCATTCTCTTTTACTACTTTAATAAAATAAGGTTAAACTCAACCCTGGGGCAACAAAAATAAACTAATTTAACAGAACAATTCTCTCTCTGTTTTCAGTACAAATTACCTTTCTGACTCCTAATCAATGCATTTCTTATAGTACAGCCCAGTGCTGATTGGAAACCTTTATGGACTTTTTATGTGAAACAAAAAGAAAAAAAAAAAAAGAAATTACCATACATGGTTTTGATGATTAGAAGATAAAATAATTATTAAAAAATGTAAACAGTGTTGTAACTATAGGGTAAAAGCTTAATGTACATTTATGCTTAGAATTACTATAAAAATAACAATAGCAATAGTACTTAGACTTATATACCGCTTCACGGTGCTTTACAATCCTCTCTAAGCAGTTTACAGAGTCAGCCTATTGCCCCCAACAATCTGGGTCCTCATTTTACCAACCTCGGAAAGATGGAAGGCTGAGTCAACCTTGAGCCTGCCAGAATCGAACTCCTGGAATGAGCAGTGAGTTAGACCTGCAATACTGCATTTGAACCACTGCACCCCACAGCTCTATAAAATCAGAAATAATTTCTTTATATTTCTTTTCTGCAATTTTTCTGTTTCCTTTCTTATTTCTTTTCTTTCTTCCTTTTTATTCTAAACGTTAGTTCTTGATAGTTTCTGTCATCTTAAAATTTTAAGTTATGTATAAAAAAGAAAAGTGAAGTTGAAAAAACTCAGAAAGCCTACTAAGAAAAAGCTCTCTCTCGTACAAACATACAGAGGAAAATATACAAATTTAAAGGCGATTCCAAATAGATGGCCTCTTATGGTGGGGAAGAGGAAAACACTTTCAAATAATCTGTCTCTTCTTCATGAAAACCCCAAAGAGTTACAAATGGAAGGAAGTGATGGTAGAACCCTTGTATTATAAAATTTAGAACCGCCAGCACACATCACGATTGGTGCTTTTCAGGATATGAACACTGATGAAACTACATAGGATGTTTCATAACACGGGGAATGTGACAGGCCTTGCATTTAGGATAAACTGGTGGCTGCCCTGTATAGAAGAAGCTCATAATAAACAAACACAAAACTTGTTTTCCATTTCTAGGTTGAGGCAGATTTTGGGGATTTAGCAAGGGAAGGGAAGGTTTACTGGAAAGGTAAAGATTGGAAGCTCACACTCATATTGCTTCAAGCCAGGGAAGCATCTAGAGTAAATATTCAGCATTGTGTGACAGAGAAGAGGAACCACTTGTCTTCATGATGCCTGGAAAACACACACATACACAAAGATTAATGTAGTATCTGTAAAAGTTTTTAACCACTTAATTGCTCAGGAATAGCAAGTTCATTGTTCTGCATAATTCCCAAAATAGCAGAATCAAAATGGCTGGAGAACATTTGGGAATCTCTAAATGGTAACAGAAAGAAGTTCAGGATTTGAGAGTCCCAGAGCCTGAAAATCAGAAGGAAGTTCTGGTGCATCTTTTCCAACTAACATATTTTATTACAAGGCATAAGCTTTCATGAGCTGTGGCTTACCGTATTTGCCGGCGTATAAGACGACTTTTTTGCCCCGAAAAACATGCCTCCAAGTGGGGGGGTCGTCTTATACGCCGGTATATCCACTGCCGGCTTTCGGATGCTTGTTGGACGCAGCGAAGGCGCCTCTGGCTTCCCGGATCCCCTGCGTCGCTTCCGCTTCATCCCGCTCGCCTCGCTCCGCCCGAGGCTGCAGCCTTCCTGCTCTTCCCACAGCCCCTGGCACTCCGCCCTGCCGCTGCAGCCCCGGGGATTTCTGGAGGGCGTTTCTGGTGGTGGTGCGGGGTCGTCTTATACGCCGGGTCGTCTTATACGCCGGCAAATACGGTACTTTATCATGTGTATAGAGTGATGTGGATTTAATAATATTTGTGAGATATGAAAAACACTGACTTTCCTGGCTTTTTTTTGCTGTTATGGATTATACAGAATTCCAACAGAGTTGGAAGGCACTTTGGAGGTCTTCTAATCCAAATCCACTGCTCAAGCAGAAAACCATATACCATTTCAAACAAATGTCTGTCCAACTTCTTCTTAATAACCTCCAGTGTTGGAGTATCCACAACTTCTGGAAGCAGGCTGTTCCATTGATTAATTATTCTCACTTCAGGAAATTTCTCTTTAGTTTTAGGTTGGATCTCTCCTTGATAACACAGTTTATCTAGCTCATTGATTAACTTGGCTCTCCTCCTTTATAGCCCTCAAAGCTTCTGGTTTAAGACTACATTTTTGCTACATTAGTAATTCAGACAAAAGTTTGTATCCTCACCATTGGTTGATAGCTCTCTTGCTTTTGAGTCCTGAGTCTACTTATGGCCACGATAGCTATGGATACTTCAAGAAGCACAAAGATGAGGAACACAGAGTTCAGGCCAAAGGACAGAATCTGTGGGCAAAATCACATACAAATGTGCTGGTTACCACCACTCCACCTGACTGTAAATTCCTCTGTTATACAGGTGAAACTTGAAAAATTAGAATATCATGCAAAAGTTCATTTATTTCAGTAATGCAACTTAAAAGGTGAAACTAATATATGAGATAGACTCATTACATGCAAAGCAAGATAGTTCAAGCCGTGATGTGTCATAATTGAGATGATTATGGCTTATAGCTCATGAAAACCCCAAATCCACAATCTCAGAAAATTAGAATATTGTGAAAAGGTTCAAAGTGTCCCACTCTAATCAGCTAATTAAGCCATAACACCTGCAAAGGGTTCCTGAGCCTTTAAATGGTCTCTCAGTCTGGTTCAGTAGGAATCACAATCATGGGAAAGACTGCTGACCTGACAGTTGTGCAGAAAACCATCCTTGACACCCTCCATAAAGAGGGAAAGCCTCAAAAGGTAATGGCAAAAGAAGTTGGATGTTCCCAAAGTGCTGTATCAAAGCACATTAATAGAAAGTTATGTGGAAGGGAAAAGTGTGGAAGAAAAAGGTGCACAAACAGCACGGCTTGAACTATCTTGCTTTGCATGTAATGAGTCTATCTCATATATTAGTTTCACCTTTTAAGTTGCATTACTGAAATAAATGAACTTTTGCACGATATTCTAATTTTTTGAGTTTCACCTGTATAAACCATAGAATTGAAAACATTATCATTATAGTTGTTTGGAACTATAGGAATTCATATCTCAATGAAGTGAAGAGCAATTAATTAACTTAAAACCCAAATATTACTCAATTATTTAATTTAGTTACACTTGATATAAACTTAGTTTAATCTAACGTATGTTGATAACTTGGAGCTTATTTGCTCTTTTTGTACCACCTCACTCAGGAGTATTGCCTGAGCCCCTCTGAAATGAAAAGGGGGAGTACAGATGAAGACAGGAGTCACCTACTGTGATCCTCAGTCAGGAAGTCACAGGGGATGGGCTTTGCTTGCCCCAGCTTAATCTTTCCCACAAGAGCTTTTTCAGACTTTTGCCTAGGGAACCACCTTGCTTGAAAAGCCAAGATGGGAATGGGACGAAATGTCTTCATTATCTTTATTCTTCCCTTGCAAAAAAGGCAGGTGGTAACATTAGGCTTCTTTGCTTCTTCAGGGTTTTTAGTTTCTCTTTATGTTAGCTTCTTCCTTGTATTTCTAGTTTTCCTATTTTTTTTCTGGCTACCCATCTATCGAGAAAATTTTTATGATGAATATGAAGACTGAAAAAGCCGTAATCCACCAGGATGCATGCCCCTCCCTTCAAATGAGATCTTTCCTTTAAGTAGCAACTGAACAGTGCAGGCAGCGAAGAGTTGCACGCCATAGAACGTGCATGGGTTATATTCAAATTGCTGCATTCAGGGAGATGATAAGCAGGGAAGTGTTGCAAAGAAATAAATGCTAAGATGGGAAGGTTGAATAAATCAAAAGAAATGATATCATGAGTTTCTCAATCAATATAGAAAGAATACAGTAATTGGATTTAGACATTATACTCAGAAATAATGTTTGACTGTGAACCCAACCACTGTGAATTGTTAACACTAATTTGTGTCTTAGGATGTTGTATGTGTTTAGTTATTTGCAGTTTACTTATAACATCATGGTAAATCATTAAAGAAATCATAACTTAATGTAGTATGTTAACTCAGTTGGTGCATTTGTTTCCAGTTAAAAATACTTGTGTAGCACAATTTAATTATAGTTCTGCAAGAGACACAAAAACTACAAAACAAAATAAATCTCATTATAGAGAATAAGGCTTATATCTATACCAAATTTAGACAAGTTGAAGAGTCTTGTAAGGTCTGAATCTTACTATGTCAGAATAATTTCAACTGCTGCTATGTACATATGAAGGTCAGGAATTTACCTGATAATAATTTCGGCAGTAAAAACTGGGATTTGAGTCACATGGGTTTCCTTCTTTAACAGTTTGTGCAATCTCAATACCATGTAGGATTATTGCAACCAGTCCAACTACACAAAATATCACGTTGACAAAGAAAGCAGATTTCACCTACATCAATATATTAGATAAAGGTTAGTTGTTACACATCCTGTGTAACTCTTAGAAGCATCTGTCTATATACTACTAAAACTCTTGTTGTCATGATCTTTAGCCAGGCAAAATGGTGCATCACAGGGCAACAATTTTTGAACCAAGGTACCTCAAACAGGCTAATTGACAGAATGAATCCAAAATACAGCACTCATGACTCCCGAATGAAATTTGAGAAAGTTTCATGGTACTGGCTGCTGCTGTAATGATGGGCTGCTGCTCCAGTCACATGATCTTTATTTTCAACATTCTGTGACAGTTTCCCAGACAGACTTCCAACCCTTTGCTCCCTCCCCTCCCCCTCCCCTGGCAGCAGCCATTTAACTATCTGGTGAAATGGGAAAGGGGAAGGAAGAAGAAACCCACCCACAAACCTTCCCCAGCCCACCCACCTGTATTTCTCCTGAACTGAGCTTCCCCCACAACACCTTCCATGACCCACACCATTCTTCTCCCTCCTCCATCTGGCATTCGGCTCTTTTTCTCCTGCATATTGCCTCTTACAAGCTAAAATAGTTAAATGATAGCATGTCAGTAATCCTGATTTCTACTCATAGGAAGAAATTATACCATCCATAAACTCACTGGAGCAACCATAATTTAAAGGTAGAAAACAGTTTTGCTCCAGTTTCAACTAAAACAATGCACAGCGAGGAAGACACAGTTCCCCAAAATAGGTTGGCACATGATCAAATGTCCAGAGCTGAGTGTAAACTGGCGCAAGCTCTTCATGCAGACATCCCTTTAGTTATCTTGGTCAAGTGTGAGTCTTTTCCCATTTGAGTCCAATTGCAGCAAAAAGGCACCAGTGAATTCCCCCCCCCCCCCCCCAATATTGCTTTTAAATAACCTCCATCTCAGATGTGAGGCAGCCTTGAGTTTTCTTTAACTATATTGGTATTAAAGTAGTGTTCCTTCCCTTAATCCAATGCAGGTTTTCCTGTAGATGCAATCTAACATGCGTCACTAACCATTCTCTTGGTGGCATATTCAGATAATTCCTTGAATTTGCTTAGACACTTTTTACTAGTGTGGGCAAGCATCTTTCCCTCTGTTCTCAGGCACTGTCCTCCAAGATTATTTTGCTTTGGGCTGCAGGATGATCCAGTTCTTTCAAATGGCCTTTCCCAGCACTTACTAAATCTCTTAAGTCAATCCCCATCCCAGAGACCTGAATCAACCCAAACAGGAGTTTGTTAGGGTGGATGGGAGCAGCATGGTGAAGTAGTGAAGCCAGCTGTCTCTTTATTATTTCATGCTAAGGTGGCTTTACCTGAGGGGGGGGAAAAACAAAGCCAGACTGATAAATCTGGCAACATACTCACTAGCAGATCAGATTGTCTTTTCTCAACTTCTATCAACAAGGACCCAGTGATCAAGAGCTACAAAAGCAAAGAAAAACAAACAGCAGGTATAAGGGTGAGCTTATTTTATATTGCAGAACCAGTGCTCCTAGAATCAGCCTGTCCCTACTAGGCATTTATTAATTAACTTGATTTACATCCCTCTTCCTTACTCAAGCACTAAGTTCTGAAGGCAATTAAAAGATGAGAAAAAGCCTATTCCAGTTTCCCCTATGGGTAGGCCAAGGCAAGCCAGTTGAATTTGTGTGAGATATGCTCAGAAAGTCCTCTATGAAAGAATGTATCCCTTCACCTGGTGTCTTTGGCTTGCGTTGGATTTTAACTTCACTGCTTTCTAACCAGCATTGATATGGGAACTGAATTCTAAGATATCTGGAAAGCACCAAGTTGGAAAAAAAATGTGTAAGGAAAAGTTTGTACTGAACAAACATATTATCTACTGGAGGGCAGAATCTCTCCCTGATTCTGAAACTATACAGAACCGAGCAGAAGCTTCTACAGACTGAAAATGGGTAAACCTTTGTGCCTCTCAAAAAGTTTGCTTACCAGGATCCCAATCCAGAAGTAAATGCCACTTTGCACAGTGACGGTGAAGCTTTGTTGAGCTGCTGTCAGGGCAATGCCAAAGCTCACATGGGTAACTCCAAAAATGATCTGCATGATCTGAAGGAAAAAAGAAAAGAGGGTGCAAGTAATATATTTAGATATCTAAAGCATTAACATCACGATCTAACAAATCCAAGGAGTATTTTGTACTATGCAATCCCAAATATGGCAAAAGTTTTAATGAGAAATTTCCTGCAAAATCAAGTTTTTCCTCTATTAGAAAGAGTATTTTGGATAAGACAGCAATATAAAAAAGGGAGGGGAGAAATGAAAATCACACTCCGAATTATAAATAAAACCAATACCATCATTTCAATTAAATGGTTAATGATTAACTCCTTAAATATGTTCTTGGGATTTCAGCACAGATGATTTGCAGGGGCTGTAGCTGGAGAGAGACCATCCAGTGCTCTCTTTGTGCTGCTCCCTCCTCCTCCTCCTTTGGCTTTCCTTTTAAAAAAAATATATAATCCTCACTTTAAAAAATAAATAAATGTAGAGTGAACTTTGAGCATTGGTTAAGGAAAAACCAAGCCATTAAGAGGAGTCTAGCAATACTAAATCCTTTAGGGATGCCATGCTAAAAAGTAGAAGTTTGCCTCCAAGGCCCTCCAAAACCAAAAATCTTTCTAGCTTTGCAAGGAGTCCAAGGTTATTCTTATATATCTGATTACCAACAAACCCAATAGAAGTAGTACAATAGCAAAAATATCTGCTAAAACCACATTAACACAAAAATAACTGTAATGTCTTTGAGGTATAAGCTTCTTATTTAGTGATTATGCAAAAAATTCTATTAGAATAGAACTCGGGAATGGGGAGAGGAAGGATTAAGCCATGTTTACCCTCTACATAAGGAACTCCCAATAAAAATTTGTGTACTTTCTGGTCACTAGCATAATCACATAAAAATGAATGCTGTGATTCTACTAATATAATTCAATTTATTAACAGGTCTTTCTTGAACGTTCTTGAGGACCTGAGTTGTCTGACACAGAGAAATGCAGAGGCCTTCACAGAATTTGGGCTTACTTGGACAAATCTAGAGGGCCTTACCCCAATCACATTGAGCAGAGTATTCTTGATCTTTTTGTTATGGGTTAGTAGGAACTTAGATGCTGCAGAAGCAGAGCCAACCACTCTGACTGTAGCTGCCAGTGTTGGCAGAGAACCTGTCTGTGGGACTGTTTGAGTGATGATCCTCACATTTCCATGCTCTGTCACACTGCTGTCCATTTCTGAAGAAAACCAAATTGAATTGAATTGAATTGAATTCTTTATTGTCATTGTATGTATATACACAGTATATATACAACGAAATTCCCATAACACCCAGAGACCAGACTCAACATGCACACACACACATGACAATCCCCAAACACCTCCCCACCCGCCAAAATTCCCCGCCTCCTAAAAACACACAAGCATCCACACAACAGACCAAGTAATACTGTCCAATAGCTCACTGATGGTGGTCCTTAAGTTCATTGTTAAGTGCAATTATAGCTCTGGGATAAAAACTATTCAGAAAACTTGTGGTCCGAGTTTTAATGGTTCTGTATCTTCTGCCAGAGGGCAACAGTTTATAAAGATTGTAAGCAGGGCGAGAAGAGTCTCTGAGAATGTTGTGCAACTTCCTCAAACAGCGAGGTGCAAAGATGTCATCCATAATAACGCATAATTAGCAAGAGCCAAAATGAATGTGTTCCAGTTTATAAGAATCCTGGTGAACCAATATTTAAAATGAATCTGTCCAATTCAAAAAATAGTGAATTTCTCTCCCCCCCCCCACATTATATTTGATACATTATACTACTTTCTAGCCTGATGCCTTAACCACTGGAACAAACTGGCTCAGATTCCAATTAACTAGTATTCCAATAAATGTTTCATAAATACTGTTAAATGTCTATGGAGATTCTCAGTCATCCAAGTCATGGTTGTCCCAAAGGTGCTTTTTCAAGAGGCATCTGGACTTTGTTTTTTCTTTGAAGACGTTTCTCTTTTCATCCAAGAAGCTTCTTCTTCTTGAATGAGAAGTGAAACGTCTTCAAAGAAAAAAACAGAAAGTCCAGATGTCTTTTGAAAAAGCACCTTTGGGACCAATATTGTTACCAAGCCTAATACCCCCCCCCCATCCTATATCTGTTTGTTTGACTTCTATTTCTGAGAATTTAACACTAGTTTTTATTAAATACAGTTTTGATATTTTTAGCCTATTTATCTAACCGTACCTAGATCATTTTCATTTTTTTATAAAAGGGGTATATTAATTTTTGCATCATTCACAAATTTGGTAAGCATTTCTTTTACTATTTACCAAAGAAGTCATTGATAAGAGTGGAGAAGAGTGGTAGGTCCGGTACTGAACTGACATCCAACTTAATAAGCCACTTCAGTTTTGCCACTAATTGTCTATCTAAAGAAGAAGCACCAGCTTCATTAAACCATATAAATCACCAGCTGATTACTTTTAGGAATGATTGATGCTTCCAATCAAAGGTTTTATTGTACAATTTCTTGCTGCATTCATAGGAATCCACAGAGTTTCAATATTTCATTATTTTTCATGTGTAACTTGACCCACATCCTTCATATCATATTCAGAAGGCCTCTATCTGGAAGTTTAAAAGAATTACAGTGTGTTTCCTGACCCTCTTATTAATGATAAAACAAACCAAGATTTTAGAAAGAACATTTTCTATTTCTTCCTCTTTAGGAGTTTCATGTTTCATTTTTTTTGGCATTAAGGAAAAATGCTCCAGTCAACCTGTTCATCATGTATGTAAATTGCTTAATTCATTCTTGCGTTGTACAACTGAAAAGAAATAAAAATAGCAGCATATAACTGGAAATGTGGCAGAACTTTAGGGTCGACCTGGAAGAGATGCTATTAACACAAAGAGCAACTACATGAATGGACTTTTCAAAGTAAATAGCAAGACCCAATCCAGATGGACAGCCTGGGTGGGGAATAGAGGACCCCACCAGTGTCCCAAAGTGGAGCGGACCTCACATCTGAGGATGGGGATCTCATCTATCTTGGTTCTCCAAAATCAGCCTACGAACGGCCTTGCTGCAAAAGTCCATCCTTGAGGACAAATTGCCAAAATCGAAATTCCAGCCTGGATACCTGTGTGCAGAACACGGAACCCTTTCCCTGTTCAATTGCCAATACCACCGGAGCCTCTACGCTTGCTGCCTCCTCTGAAGAAGAGGGCAACTGAAATCTGTACTATTTCTCCCACTATACTCTTGCTAATAATAATAATAATAAAATCGAATAAATAAGATCATAACTGAATGTTTTGGTCTGACTCGGCTTTGCCTGCAGGGAAGCAACTCGCTTCTCTGACCCCACGTTGTTTTGCACCACGCCCGCTCCTTCCTCCCACCGAAAAACGCACCGCCGATCTGTAAGGAGCCGGGGGAGACACTCACCCGCGGGAGGGTCGCTTCTTCCCTTCTATAAGCTTGCAGTCCTTGGCCGGCAGTTGCCGCAGACCCACAACTCGTTCGTTCCCCGCGCCGGCTTCCCTCTCCCGAGACCAGGCGGCTGTGGGTGGTACTCCCTCGCTGACAGTTTCGCTCGCACCGCTTTTCCGGGAAAGAAAAAACGGAACGGAGGTCAGGAAACGCCGAATCTCGGCTCTGCGCGCGCGCAAAGAGGTTGCTTGTTCCTTCCCAGCTCCGTAGTTGTTCCGCGGCGGCTAATTTGGGGACATTTCTCAGAATGGTCGCTAATGTAGCGTCGCCAAAGATTGTAACATACCGGTAAAAGAGGAGGAGGAGGAGGAGGATGCGAGAAGCAGCTGCTCCGATTGAGAAATGAGTTTATTCCTAAGAAAAGTGTATCTGCTATTTTAGGGAAATGTTTTACATAAAGCGTTGTACGTTGTACGTTATGATTCTTGATTCTTAACGAATGTATCTTTTCCTTTATGTATGCTGAGAGTATTTACACCAAGACAAATTCCTTGTGCGTCCAATCACAGTTGGCCAATAAAGTATTCTATTCTATTCTATTCTATTCTATTCTATTCTATTCTATTCTGTTGCTTTAAAAAAAATTATTTGTTTTTTTTCTGCCTGCCTGCCTGCCTGCCTGCCTACCTACCCACCTACCTCCTAATTTCCTAATTCTTTACCATCATCTTCTTTCAGAGAGGGTTTCTGGACAGTGTACAATATAATTAATAAAATTAATATTAAAACCAGACTTGATTTAAGATTTAAAAGTTTTAAAATTACAAAAATAACATTACATTTCAAAAGGTGAGAAATACCAAGATTGGGGTGGGTGGGTTAGCAGTGGTTAATACAGATGTGTGTGGGGGGGGGGGAGGAGTCATCCTAGGGTCTGTATCCCTCAAGCAAGGCCCTCCAGCCAAGTTTTTCAACTTTCAATTTTCAAACATTAGGGATGCTCAAAAGTTGTGACATGCCTTGGGGATTGTAAAGGTATTTTGGTTACTTTAATATAATTTGGATGTGCTACATAAATAGTGTAACTTTTCCGATCAGCAATTCCCCAGCAAGTGATTCAGACCAGCAATTCCCCATCAAAGAAGAACATTATTCGGTGTGCAGTGAGCTGGGTGGAAGATATCTTTATCATTTCACTCCAGAGAAAGGCTCACAAACAGGAAAACCTGCTCAAGTGATTCCAGGTAATCTGGTGTATTTCATGAAGAAGAAAGGCATTGACAAAAGCTTGAAAACCATTGGAAGAGATTCTACAAATGTTAATACCGGTGGAGGTGATGCCATGCACTGGCTAGAGGTCAAGCCAGAGCATTCACTCTGCTGGAGCTGATTGACTGGTCTGAAGGAGTATACGAGCCACCTTTGACGTGCAAACTGACTATAGTGGTAATAAAGAAATTCATCAACAAACCAATGCAAGTACCACAATGGCCTGCCATGCCCAATCAATAGAGAGAGGCGTGGAACAGGTTACAGAGGCAGCAAGCAGAGTGTGTACACATGAGAAATGTAAGAGTTATATCAGAGGCAAAAGAAGTGTTGACATCTCATTTAGAACAAATCAAAGCAAGACTTGATGAAACTTGCTTAAACATTTTTGTAACTCAGATAATTGCTTTCTGATGTTAATGTATGATTACATGGATTAATTTTTCCTCAGCTAGATAAGATTCATGCAGAAACAAACTTTCGATTTTTGTAGCGCAAGGTGTAATTTTGAGAAGACAAACTTAAACAATATTTGAGGGGTATATCATTCAGATGTGGACTTACCGTATTAACTAAACATGCAATTACAAAAATAATAGCAGATTTGAATTCTTGGTGTAAGAAACACATATTTTTAGAACCCCTCTCTGAAAAAAATGGCAAAAATTGATTTTCTATTAGATGCCCTAATAGGCAGCTCCTCATCAGATCTTCAAATGGTTGAATATTATGTTGAGTGAAGGGGCAGCTGTAGGATGGAGAGAGGCAGACTTGCCCAAGGATTTCCCAACAAGCTGAATTGTTGAGTCAGGTTCTGCCTTCCAGCTCAGAAACATTGTTTCTTCACTTTGTAAGCTATCATAATCATATAGGTCAAATGCATTTGAAAGCTGCCAAAAGTTGAAAAATACTGATCTAAGTGACTCTAGGCCAGTGATGGCTAATGTTTTCATCATTGTGTTGTGAAAGTGCATACGTGTGTTCCTGCACCCATAATGCAATGCGCGCACAATGCCCTGCATGCCTCTGTGCATGCGCTTATGACCCCCCCACGCCGCACACCTCTGCATATGTACGCATGTCTCCCACATGCGCCCTGCCCCCGCACACACATGGGAGATACCCAACAATCAGGTGGCTGGCAGGAGGCGCTCACACATGCGCAGTGGATCTGTTCCGGGTGACGGCTCACGTGCCAGCAAAAATGGCTCTGTGTGCCATTTCCAGCATCATGCCATAGGTTTGCCATCATGGCTCTAGCTGTATACAATATGTTAAAGCAATGAAATAAGCCGAAAACAATGGCAAGCAACAACAACAGCCAATATCTGTTTAACAGGGAAGGAAATAACAAGCACCAAGGAATAAAATCCAAAATCACTGTAACGAAAGGTCTGCTGGGAAAAAAAAAGGATTTTAAAGGCTTCTCTCAACAAAAATGGGGTTGAAACGATTTAGATTTTTAGAGAAGGTACAATCTCATAGGGCAGTAGGGATGGGGCCCACAGACAAAGAGCCCATCTCCAAAGTCCACAAGATGACATGTTGTTATGAGGGTAGGTGGAAATGGAAGATGGGCAGAAGAGATGTTGCCTTGGGAAAGAGCAGCTAAGAGCGCAGAGCCCACAGTCACACAAGGAATGGACAATCAAGCTCAGAAGGAACACTCCCCACCTACCCCCAGGCTGTAAAGGTGGTCCTTGACTTATGACCACAATTGAGGCCCAAATTTCTCTTGCTAAGTGAGACCTTTGTTAAGTGAGCTTTGCCCCATTTTACGACCTTTCTTGCCATAGTTGTTAAGTGAATTGTTGCAGTTGTTGAGTTAGTTGTTGCATGGTTGTTAAGAGAATCTGGCTTCCCCATTGACTTAGCTTGTCCGAAGCTCGCCAAAGCGAATCACATGGCCTCGGGACACAGCAACCGTCATAAATATGAACCAGTTGCCAAGCGGCCAAATTTTGATTGCGTGATCATGGGGATGCTGCAACGGTCATAAGTGTGAAAAATGGTCATAAGTCACTTTTTTCAGTGCCACTGTATGTCAGCTTTGGAAGCCATATTGAGACCAGATGCTTCCACACTGCTACATTCTTGAGCCTGGGAAAATGGGAGGGGGGGATTTCTTGGAGTGTATGTGGTTAGACACAATAGCATTCTTTTTCTAAGTCAAGGTCATGTTATTCTGCACATAAGTGAGGGGAAGTCTCAAGTTGGGACGGATGGCGATAGGGGCATGTGATGTGATGATGGGTGCAGGGGGTGGATTTGTAGTTTTTACTTATTGCAAGGAAGCCTAGAACTTTCAGTTTTGGGATTCCGCAGATGTGCCAGTTTACTATCCAAATAAAACAGAACTTTTGAGAAGATGTCTGTCTCCCCAGTTATTGGTTGGACTGGAGGTTTGCTGGAATGCTGTCTTACAACAAATTAGAAGCAGCTCATCTGATCAAATTTCCTGTCTGCTCTACCTAGGGAAGCTGGTACATGTTAACCATTGGACTTGCCGTAAGCCTGATGGCCTAGATCTAATCAGATGTTAGGTATCATTGAACAAGCAGTCCTGCAGAGAACTAGGCTATGAGCTTTGATTAACCAATAATGCGGTTATTCTGTACATACATTTAATATGGCTTTAATTTTTTTTAATGAAAAGTTTCATACAGTAGTCCTTCTGCAACTTGGCATTCTCCAAATGTGGCGCTTCCCAGCCAGAATGGTGAAAATGTTTTTTATCTGGCAATTTGAACTACTGAGGTCTGAAAAGATCTAGAAAATGTTCTCTCAAGGGATTTGGAATAGGAATTTATTGAGAAGTGAACCCTGCTGTTTGTTTATTTCTATGCCACCTTTATCATAGTTACAAATAACTCAAGGTGGTGAACATAATCCAAGATACCTTCCTTCTCCTATTTCTCTCCCACAACAACCACCCTGTGAGGTGTGTTGGGATGAGAGGGAATGACTGGCCCAAAATTGCCCACCTGGTTTTCATGGCTAAGGCAGGACTCAAAGACTCCCATTTTCTAGCCTGGTGCCTTAATCACTAGATCAGACTGGCTCCCTAGTTGTTTGGAGAGTGCTTTCTAATAATTGGTTTAAGGAAATTACGGAGACATCTTTCATTGTTCCATTCTGTAATTTTATGAGGAACTCAGATATTGCTCAACTATGCAGCGTTAAATATTGCATAAACCTTATTCATGTTATCCTGATATGCTTCCTTTCCTCCAAGAGCCTAAGAGGCATTCAATCTGCCCTTCTCCTTATCTCTGGAAGATAGTCTCTGTGAGGGATATTAGGTTAAAAAACAGTGCATGACCCAAAGCTCCTAGTCATTGAAGGATAGTTTGCCCTGCTACAGGGAATCTTAATAATATTGTAATAAATATTGTAATATTGCAATACTGGTTTGTATTGCAATACAATCCATATAAGAGAATGTCTTACTATACGTAAGAGCCCAGACTGTGAAATGCATTTTCTTGGGCATTGCACCTGGAAGAAAATCAAGACTTCAGCTAAATCTTTTGGGTGGAATGATAATTTCAGCTGTTGTTTTTGTGACTTTTGATAAATTTACTTTTTATTTGGATTAACATTAATTATATTTATTTTAAAGAATGTATATGGCTGCCCAACCTTGAGCAGCTTGTAACAAACAAAAGAAAACCAACTAACCAACCCAATTTCAATTTACAATAGTAATAGTGATAAACAGATTAAAGAACTAGGTAGGGGGACAGAAAACTACTTGGAGGCAGAGTTAATATCTTTCACAATGTGGTCCTTGATGCATTGAATTGTCCTTTCATACTACTTGTTTCTTTTTAAAGAGGCAAACAGTGGAAAGAGGTTTGGAAACTTTGAATCCAATACATATTTTTGGATGATATTCTGTCCTGTACAAACTGTCCTCTGTAATGTACAAGGGCAGATAGATAACTCCACAAAGCATCCACACAAAG